GATGCAGGATGGTCCTTCTTGTGGAGGAGTAAATGGAACAGACTATGTAGGGACCTCCCAGAGCCTCAGATCACATTTAGAAATAATTTTTTAAAGGCTTCTTGATTTTACTGTCTGAAACTATTAAATATTTCTACCATTTGTGCACATTTTCAAGGAAAAGCATAAATGGGCAACTAGAGAAATATGGCTATTTGGTTTAATTACACAACTGTCTTGGCACATTAAATGTGTTGTGGGTGAGGTTGGAAGACTCCAAATGACAGAACACACTTGTCATTTGGAGTCTTCTTCCTGGCAGTCTCAGCATCTGCTTGTTTTTATTCAGATATTTATTTTTTAATAACTGTAGCTAAAATATTGAAAAATAAACAGAACTGCATATCACCAAATGTGTAAAATAACACATCTGTGTTCTTCCATCAGCCAAAGTCAAGCCCATGGTCATTTCGGACTCGAATCATTCCAGCTCAGATGAGGACTCTGAATTCCAGGGTGACAGTGAAGGCAACTCTGAATCTGACACAAACTCTAAGAAAAAGGCTCCTCCCAAGCCCAAACCTGCTCCCAAGTGAGTATTTTTCCACAATCACTGGAAATTAGTTGTGCTTTTATGCTGAACAGAAGTTAAGAGCAATTTTTTTTTTTTTTAATTCCCCTATTTAGTGCCTCATAAACTGAATTAAAAACTTGGGGTTTTGTTTTCCAGGGAAACCACTGAAAAAGCAGCAAAAGCTCCCAAGCAAAAGGCAGCGCCAAGTGCTGTTCCTGGTGAGTGTGAGACCTCTAAACCATGTGGATCGCTCTATAATCCCTCAGCAGTGCACAGGGAAGAGCAGAGGGGATAACTTGGCTGTTTCAGGCTGACTTTCTGATTTTCTTATCCTGTTCCAGTCCAAGATGTCCCTGAGGACAAGGTGAGCCAGGCTCCTGCAGCTCCGTCCGTCCCAGCGCCGAGCACCAAGGCCGTGCCCAAAAAAACCACTGCAGCCAAGAAGGCTGGAGCCACCAAGGGTAAGGGCAGCTCAGCAACACCAGTTCTAGAGAACAATTATAATTCCTGTGGGAAACAGTCCGAGTGATTTCGCTTGGCGTTCCAGGGCCTGGGCAACTGGAGTTTGCATTTCAGCAAAGATCTGAGGTTTGTGGCAGAGGTTCTCTGGTTGTCATGTTTGAGGTCTGCTTCCAAACATATCGTGTTCTAGTTCATGTTGGACATGCTTGGAGGGAGGGAATTTTAGTTTGGGAACAGGAAAAGTGAATGCTTCCTACAGTGCTATGTAATACTTGGCAGGGATAATCCGAGTGGAATTTGTGTCTTGCAGTCAATGTCCTCCTTCGTGTCTTTTTGGTAAAAAAGCTGCTTTGGAGCAGGCCAGCTTTTGGGGGGATAGTTTGATCTATTCAGTTCTGGATCCATCTCGTCCATCTCCAGCATTTGACTTGGGGATTTTTAAACCCCAGACTTTGACACTGTTTTATATATTCCAAATGGAATCAACTCAGAGTTGATCCCAGCAGGAAAAAAGTGTTACTTCCACTCCTAAATTGAGAAAGCATGTTATCACTCAGAAATGGCCTGAAATGTGCTGAACTGGAAGCAGTGCTTCAAGATGCTCTTTTAAAAAGTGAAAATATAGGTAAGGAATGAGTGAGTGAGTGAGTGGGAAATTCCTTCCTTGCTGTGCAGGATTTTGAAGGTCTGAGATGGGTTATGGAGCCTTGTGAGATCAGGACTTTTCAATCTGAAATAGTCTGTAAATTGCTTTGGGGACGCTTTAATTTGATCCTCTAAATGTAGTGGAACTGAGCAGATAAACAACCTCATTCCTCACCATCTGTGGAAGAGGGATCTTTCTAGAAAACCCAGCTTCAAACGGAGACGACCTGTGCGCTGACCCTGCAGCAGGCAGAGCCTGTTTCTGTTGGAAGTAATTCCCAAACTGGGAACAGGAGAGGAGCGAAACAGGGGTTTAACGCCGTGTTCTGTTCCAGACAACCAGCCCTCCATCATGGATGTCCTGGCCAAGAAAAAGGCTGCACCCAAACCCAAGCCAGCGGCCAAGGAGGGTCCCCTGCACGGCGAGGGTGACAATGCCAAGGGGAGGAAGGCTGTGAAGAGGCAGCCAAGCTCTTTGAATTCAGATTCCGATTCAGATTTTGGCTCGAAGCCTGCCAAATCTGTTGCATCAAAGGTTTGTGCAATGCCATCAGTGCCGAGGGAACTGCAGAGCGTGGGGTGGGTTCTGCCAGCAAGAAAAGCTGGTAAAGGTCAAACCTCTACCTGGGTGTGGGGAGTGAGGAAGAGGAGGGTCATAGAATCATGGAATATTCTGAGCTGGAAGTGACCCACAGGGATCACAGAGTCCAACTCCCAGCCCTGCACAGGACCATCCCAGCAATCCCACCCTGTGCCTGACAGTGTTGTCCAAACACTGCTGGAGCTGTGTCAGCCTTGGGGCTGTGCCCATTCCCTGGGGAGCCTGGGCGGTCCCTGAGCACCCTCTGGGATAAGGGTCACACACCCCAGATCCTTGGTCTGCTCCCACCACCCCAAACATCCACCATCCCCATGGCACAGCAGGCCACACAGACAATGTGTGGTGCAATTGTGTTCCCTCTGGGTGCTCAGATCCATGATTCCTTTCCTGCTTTCCCTCCAGAAATCTAAGGTACAGGAAGACACCTTCACCATTGACTCTGGTGACGAAAGCCCTGTACCTCAGCCCCGTGCCAGGCCTGGCCGTGCCAAAAAACCTGTCCAGTACCTGGAGGAGTCTTCTGAGGATGATATGTTTTGAGTTCTTAGGAAAATTTTAAACTCCAGATCCACAACAAGCCTTCAGCAGCACTCCAGAGCTCCCACCAAAGACCATCTCAGCCTAGGAAATCTTCACCAAATGTGAACCACTCCAAAAATGTTCATTACTGGTGAACACAGCTCATTTTTTCTTGGTTTTAAATAAGTTAGATTTGTTTAAACAGGAACATCCCCTTTTTGGTGAGCACTGGAGCCACGTGCCCAGCAAGTGCTGCCACACTTCCCTCTTCCCCATTATTTGACGCTTTGTGGTCATTTTAGTGTTAAAGTTGACTTTAGAACATGCTAAATCCTTTAAAATTTATACATCCCTCTTGAAATATCTTATAGGACTAAAATACAGGAATTTTTAATTCTACCATCCAACACAGGAGCTGGAGTCATTTTTCCAGCACCATTCCTTCACTATGTAAATATTTCTGTGTTTGTTCTTGTCCTGAGTTTGTTTGTTTAAGTATTTGTCTAATAAAAGTGTTTTTACTTATTTTCTTCGCTTCACCGTGCATTTTTTGGGAAATAACAACTGCAGAGCTTGTGCTAAGCCCTCCCTCTGTCCGAGCAGAGCTTGGCACGAGCTCTGGGGGTGCTGGGCTGGTTGGCCACTTCCCCACTGGCTGTGGCCACTGTGGCTCCACAGCTGAATTCTTGTGAACACCCCTGTGGTCCCCAGCACGGGGGAAGCTGCTTGCCCAGAGCAGCTGTGGTTGTCCCATCCCTGGAATGTCCAAGGCCAGGCTGGAACAACCTGGTCTAGTGGAAGGTGTCCCTGCCTGTGGAAGGGGAGGGGACTGGATGAGCTCTAAGCTCCCTTCCCATCCAAACCATTCCATGATTCCATGAAACCCCAGGGCCCCCCGCGCTATCGGTGCTTTGCTGGAACCCAGTCAAGTGTGGAAAGCGCTGTCAGATTTTCCACTGGCTCTGGAGAGCGTCTCCGGCGCGTCCCCTCCGCGGGCCGGGCTATTTACGGCTCCTCTTACTGCACAACACGACCCAGGACAGCCACGGGTGGGTTGTGGGGCTGCTCTCTGAACTCTGCCATCACCCTAAGGTGGATGTAGAGCTCTGGGAACACAGAGCGGACCACGGAGTCTGTACCAGGAGTTTCCCACCCCAAAACCTTGGATGGGGTGCTGGAGATGTTGTTGGACGGGAGCTGAGCTCTGGGGCATCGGTGCTTACCCACCCTGGGCATTGCACGTCCCAGGGGGTGAGGGGGGTCTGAGGGTGACCTGTGCTGTCCAGGGCTCTGCTCCCGTTACTGGAAAGGGGATTTGAGGGCTCACCAAATGCTGTCAGCACTGGGCAGGGGCTGGCAGGAGTCCTGGCCGTGCCACACAGGATTTTGTAGGGATTAGTCTACATGTGCCATTGCTGGGGACACCCTGGGAATATCCCTGGGACCCCCAACAGCCCTGGCACAGCGTCCTGAGGCAGAGAGGGCTCGTGCCAGCCGTGAGCATCCCCCAGGCACTGCAGGGCTGGAGCTGTGGCAGCAGGGCTGGGTGTACCCAGGCTCTGATGTGTCAGGGGGGTGATGCCAGCAGGGGTCTTTTGGGGGCCAAGTGCTGTGGCCTGAGGTCCTGTGGGGTTTGGGAAGGACAAAGTTTGGCAGCATTTCTGAACTGAGGGGGCCACCACCCCTCTCCCAGCCTGGTAGCTGCTGGCCCTGGGCAGGGCAGCTTTTGTCCTTGAGCCCCACCGGCAGTGCTGAGCCCTTCCCTGCCTCCAGGCGCCCCCGCGGGTGCTCTGTCCCTTTAAAAGGACTCCAGGCGTGGCTGTAGGACCATTTTATCCCATCCCAGCTGGACAAAGAGACTGGACAGTCCTGGACGGCCCTGGACAGGCGGCGCCAGCAGCGCTGGCACACCGTGGACCACAGCCCACACAGGTACTGGGCTGTCGTGGGGGGCCACAGCTCAGCCAGGCCGAGCTGTGCAGGGGGACTGGGCATGGGGAATCGGCTGGTCCTGCCCCTGTTGGTGTTCTTGGACCCATCTCTGGGGGAGCGAGTCCTGGGCACGGCGGGTGCCTGGGGACACTGCTGACAGGGCTGAGCTGGGCTGGCAGTGCCTGGGCATCCATCCTCCCGTGAGCGGGCACGCCGTGCTGCGCTTGGGAACGGCGGGAGGATGGAGAGCTGGAGGGGCCGCGCTGCCGCCGGGGTCCGACCTGGCGGGCGCTGCGTCCCCCCAGCGCTGACCCCGCTCCCGCAGCGCGGCCATGGGCGAGTGGGGCTTCCTGAGCTCGCTGCTGGACGCCGTGCAGGAGCACTCGCCCATGGTGGGCCGCTTCTGGCTGGTGGTGATGCTGCTCTTCCGCATCCTGGTCCTGGCCACCGTGGGCAGCGACGTCTTCGAGGACGAGCAGGAGGAGTTCGTGTGTAACACGCAGCAGCCGGGCTGCAAACCCGTGTGCTACGACGCCGCTTTCCCCATCTCCCACTATCGCTTCCTCGTCTTCCACGTCGTCGTGCTCTCGGCGCCCGCCGCTCTCTTCGTCATCTTCGCCGTGCACCAGGCGGCCAAGCCGGGGCGCGGGGGGGCTCCCGGCCAGCGCGCCCGCCGCCTGCAGCCCTTCTACGTGGGCAGCGTGGTGGCCCGGATCGCCGCCGAGCTGGGCTTCCTGCTGGGCCAGGCGCTGCTCTACGGCTTCAGGGTGCAGCCGCTCTTCGTGTGCCGCCGCCGGCCCTGCCCGCACCGCGTCGACTGCTTCGTCTCCCGCCCCACCGAGAAAACCGTCTTCATCCACTTCTACTTCGTGGTGGGGCTGGTGTCGGCGCTGCTCAGCCTGGCCGAGCTCGCCCACCTCCTGCGCAAGGGGCCCCCGGCGCGGCCGCAGGAGCGGGGCCCGGCGCCCGGGCAGCCGGCGGGGGCTGCGGAGGGACCCTGCGCTCCCCACCCGCGGGGGGACCTCACCGTGTGACACCGCGGGGACGAGCTGTGCCCGGGTTCAGCCCTGCCCCACAGGGGTCTCGGCCCTCGCCGTGCCACGGAATCCGCGCCGGGCCGGGCTGGGCTGTGCCCCGCTGCCCCCGGTTCCTGTTGTGGGCGCGGACAGACCTCACCCGCCAGCTGCTGGAAAAAAAATACGGACAAAAGGAAAATAAACAGGTCCCATCCCTGCACAGCGGCAGGAACACCCCTGACCCCCCCCCAGCCCGGCACGGCGGGGCCAGGGCTGCTCCCAAACTCTGTGCTGGGAGTGTCACACATGCATCAGGGCTGGCCCCTGGCATAGAGGGACATGACTGTGGCCTCAGGGGTGGGAAGGTCCGAGCTTTAGGGTACTGGGGGGACCCCAAAGGGTTCTGTGCCAGTCTTAGGGGATGACCAGACAGGGAGAGCAATACGGGAGTCCCTGGGCTGCGCTCCTGCAGCAAAGAACATCCCCCCTCAAAGAGGGCTTGGGGTGACACAGCCTGACCATCTCCTCCCCACCCCTGCTCCCTCTCCTCCCCGGTACCCCCACAAGAATAACGAGCCAGGCACTAGAATAAATAAACTTTATTCTGGAGCCAGCCCCCCCCCGTCCCCCCTCCCCGTGCCGGCAGGGCCGGGCCCCCCATCCCCGCGAGGCCGGGACTGGCACCACCCTGTGCCCCCCACAGTCCCCTCCCTGCCTGGGGGGCCGGGGCAGGGCCCGCCCGGTGCCCCCCGACTCTAAATCCACTAAAATCTCAACAACAACAACAAAAAAAAAAAGGAATTTAATAATAATAAACCATGTGCCCCCCCCCACCCTCCCCGGCAGCGCCCACCGTGCCCCCTCCACCTGCACAGGCCTAAAAACCCCTCCAAACTTTTACAAAGGTTTTAAAACGTATTTATAGATATTTATAGATATTTATATATATATACTTTGCTTTCTTTTCTCTTTTAAATGACTCTGCTTCCTCAGCGTGCGGGGCTGGCCGGGCCCCCCCGCGGACGGCCGGGGCGGGCGGGGGGTGGCTCGGTGGTCGCGATCCCGTGGGTGCTGGTGCTGGTGGGGCCGGGGGCGTCCCCGGGGCCGCGGCCGAGGTCCCCGCGCCCCTGAAATGTGACTCAACCAACGCGCTGGGCCCGGGGCTGGAGGGTCCCCGCGGGGGCCGCTCCGGCGGGGGCTGCCAGGAGTCCGCCCCGGGGGGCTGCAGCCGGGCCGGGCGTGGGGGCACCGGCGTGCCGGGCTCTGTCCTGGTGCGCGCCGGGCGCGGTCACGGCGAGTGCGTGGTCGGGCTGCTGCGGTTGGAGCTGGGCGAAAGGCTGGGGCTGCAGCTGCCCGGGGGGGGCCCCAAGCTGCCCCCACGGGGGCCGCCCGGCTGCCCCCCCAGCGTGTCCATGCCCTCCGAGTTCTCCAGCATCTCCTGGATGAGCGGCGGCATCGAGCCCGGGATCTCCATCTTCAGCGTGATCACCCGCTCGGCGCCTGTGGGAGGGGCAGGGTCAGCAGGGGGCTACCACCAATTGGCGCTCCCAAAGTGGCACATTAAAACTGGCACCCCCCAATGGTACTCAAAAAAATCCAAAATGGCACCCCCAAAAGGCACCCCAAAAAGCCCAAAATTTTTACCACCAAAATGGCACACTAAAACTGGCACCCATGGCACCACCAAATTGGCACACTAAAACTGGCACCCCTCCAATGGTACCCAAAAAAACCAAAATGGCACTCCCAAAAGGCAACCAAAAAAGCCCCAAAATGGTACCACCAAAATGGCACACTAAAACTGGCACCCACAAATGGTACCAAAAAAACCCAAAATGGCACGTCCAACAGGCTTCCAAAAAAGTCCCTAAAATGGCACCACCAAATTGGCACACTAAAACTGGCACCCACAAATGGTACCCAAAAAAAACCAAAATGGCATACACAAAAGGCACCCAAAAAGTCCCTAAAATGGCACCACCAAAATGGCACACTAAAACTGGCACCCATGGCACCACCAAATTGGCACACTAAAACTGGCACCCACAAATGGTACCAAAAAAAAACCCAAAATGGCACGTCCAACAGGCATCCAAAAAAGTCTCTAAAATGGCACCACCAAAATGGCACACTAAAATTGACACCTCCCCAATTGGGTGCCCAAAAACTGGCACCCAAAAAATGGCATGCCCAAAACAGCACCCTGGAAGTGGCACCCCAAAACTAGTACCCCCAAAATGGCATCCAAAAAGTGACACTGCCGAAACAGCACCCTGAAAGCACCACCCTCAAACTGACACCCCAGCTTTGCTTCTCCCTGGGCACTGAGGACAAGGGACATGGTCACATCCCCACATCCCTGGAAGATGCCAGTGCTGGGCTCTTCATCCCCTGTGGAGCATGCTGAGTGACCCCGGCCCCTCAGTGTCCCAAAGCCGCAGGAGCCTCACCCTTGGCGCTGATGCTGCGCAGGTCTGTGATCTTCATGAGCATCTTGGGGAACATGTGGGGCCTGTTGGGCCTCCTCTTCCTCACATAGATCTTCAGCGCCTCCAGCAGCGGCTCCTGCAGCTTGTCCACCCTGTCAGGCTGCTCCAGGTCCTGGCGGTCTGGGGAGGGGACATACAGTGGTTGGGGGAACAGCACATGCCCCTTGCCATCCTGTGGGGTCCCAGCTCCCACCGTTTGGGCTTCATTTGGGGTCTCCTTGCTCAGCCACCGGGGGAGGACGGCCAAGCTGCCCCGGGGGCCCGCGGGCACTGGGCAGGTGCCCGTCCCCGCACCCACCTCCGCAGATGAGGCAGATGGCACTGAGCAGCCCCGTCTCGGCGTCGTCCATCTCCAGCGGCAGCAGCTGGTTGGCGAAGGCGAAGACCAGGTCGGTGAGGGGCCCGAACCCCGCGTTGTGCATCTGCGTGCGGTTCAGCGTCAGCCCGTCCGAGAAGGTCATGGTGTCCTGCTCCGGCGTGTAGCGCGTGCAGATCCGCAGGATCTGAAGGACAGAGGGCAGGGAGCTCAGCCTGGTGTCCCCTGCCCGTCCCTGTCCCCATCCCTGTCCCCGTGCTCACCAGGATGTCGAGGCAGGCGGCTTTGAGGAGGGTGATCTGGTCGGCGATGGTGAGCGTGGTGAAGCCGGGGAGCTGCTTGGCGAACTCCACCGTCTTGATGATGCACTTGGTGGACAACTCGCTGAACTTGTCCCACAGGTCGATGTCCAACGACACGCGCTGCTCTGAGCTGTTGTTCTGTGGCGGGAGGTGGGGGATGAGGGCACGGGGGGGTGACACACTCCCCAGCCCCCCAGGACCCCCGGGACCCCGGGACACTCACCGTAGTGTATTTGCCGAGCTGGCAGAGTGCGGGGAAGGTCTCCTGGTGGGCTTTGCGCACCTTCTCGATGAGCTCCTCCACCTCAGGTGTGATGATGTAGCTCTCCGAGCACTCCGGCTTGGGCACGTCCTTCTTCTTCTTGTTCCGGTCATTGCGGACGGCTGCGGGATGGCAGGGTCAGTGTCACCCGGTGCCACCCAGCCCCTGCCCCACCCGCCCTGCCCCTCAGGGCAGGATGGGGACCTGCCACCAGCAATGGGCTCAGCTGTAGTCACAAGCTCCCAGCAGAGCCATCAGCCCCACAGATTCCTTTAAACAACCCCCCCAAGTCATTAGGGATGCAGTTAGAGCCTGCACCCTTGGGGGACCCACACCCCTGGCCAAGGGGACAGTGCTCTGCAAAGCCAACACATCAGAGAGGGACCCTGGGGACAGAGAATGGCAGCTGAGCCACTGTGCTGGGTGAGGGGCACAGGAGGGACCCTGGGGGTGGCAGCTGGGAAGGGGGGTACAGCTGGGAGGAGCCCCAGCCCTGCAGGGATCAGCCTCTGTGGGCTGAGAGGGCCAGGACCCCTCTTAGGTGCAGGGCAAGCCCCTGGGATGCTGAACTCCCCCTGGCAGTTCCTGGCTCCCCAGGCTCTGCCAGCTCCTCCCAGGGGTCCCAGTCCCCCAGGGGTTGGCAGATGGGGCAGGACTCAAGGAGGCAGCTGCACCTCAGCAGCCCTATCCCCCCGGGCACCCACGGCGGGGGCACAGCCAGGCACCATGACAACTGCCAGCGGAGCCAGGAGGCCTCCTCAGCGTCATTTATCTCTGACATTATCAATCACGTGTTGCCCGGGAAACTGCCAGGCTGTGACACAATCCCAGGGGTCCCCATCCCCCCCCTGGGCCTTGCTGGGGGCCACTGGGATGGCACATCACACCCAAAGCCCCCTGACCAGGACACCCGGCAGGGTGCTCCCATCCCATCCCTGCTCTTCATCCCCTCCCCATCCCCATCCCACTCACACTCCTTGGACATTCCAACTTCGAAGCACTTCTGGAGCCGGCAGTACTGGCACCGGTTGCGTGTCACCTTGTTGATGATGCAGTTCTTGTCCCGGTGGCACGTGTACACCATGTTCTTCTGGATGCTGCGGCGGAAGAAGCCCTGGGGACCCGGCACGCCCCGGTCAGCGCCCGGCACGGGCACCCCGAGCACCCCGGGGAGCCCCGGGAGCCGTGGCGGCCGTGGGGGCCGGTGGCAGCGCTCACCTTGCAGCCCTCGCAGGCGCTGACCCCATAGTGGTACCCCGAGGACTTGTCCTGGCACACGAAGCAGGGCTTGTAGATGCGGGGCAGGGGTGGGGGCGAGGGGGGGCTGGGCACGATCTCCTCCGAGCTGGTGCTCTGCGTCTCCACGGCTGTGGGGAAGGGGAGGCACTCAGGGCACGGAGCCCCCCAGGCAGGGACCCCCCCCAGCCCACTCCCCAGCTCCAGGGGTCCCGGCAGCCCCAGCCCCGCGCTGCCCACCCCGGCCCTGGCGCCAGGTCGAGTGGGGCCAGCGGGGAGAGGACGCGTGCTGGGAAGATGCAACGTGACATTTCCAGGTCACAGAGACGATGTGGAATTCAGGCGGACAAAAAACAAAAGAAAAAAACCAAACCACAAAGAAAAGGGCCGGGATCCCAGGAGCCCCCAGCCCAGGGCGGCACTGCCAGTGGGTGAGGGGATGGAGGGTGCAGGGCCAGCCTGGGGGGGCCAGTGCCACACACTCAGTCACACATGTACAGTGTGACACCCACAGG